CACACACACACATACACACACACACACACACACACACACATGCGCTCACAAGTTTTGAAAATTATAATTACCCAAAATCGCGAAAAGCAAGCCCCGCTCTATGGTAACTACGTGTACTGGGGCAACGATCATCTCTTTTTTTCTCCCTTTTTTTGTCTTTGTACTTCCTGATTTGGGGCCAAAATACCTGAAACTGACTCTGAATTACTGAAGTAGGAACTTTGAGGTAGCCACCCCTGGGAATATGATTTTGAGTCTCGAGGAGGATAGATGGAATGGGGATTGGAAGCGAGAGGAGAGAGATGTGATACGAAGCATAGACACTTAAGCAGCTGTTTAATACCTAATGATTGATATACCGTATATTAGTTCCCCCTTAATACAATCGATTTTTTTAAACCCAAAAATGAGGTTGCGGGTGGTTGTTGGGTGCTCTTGTGTGGTTTTCTCATTCTTTCCCAATAAACATCTATTGTCCTGATATTTCCTCCTTCTTTTTGTGTCTGTTACACTCTTGTAACACCTCTAATCTTGAGCACTTAAATTACGACCTTATTGTGTTGCAAGTGCCGTAAAACGCTTACGGAAACTAAAAAATGAGGTCCAAAAGTATACTCCCGCCCAAACCATTACATACAGCCAAAGTCGCCCCCAACAAACGGGACGTTGAGCCATATCATGCAAAGAGGATTATAATTCGAATGCACGAAATGTCGTCTTCAGCTTAAATTTTACGGTACCGGCTGATTTTATTTTTTAAAACTGTAACAAAAACGCATTATGGCGTCTTGTTTGGATTACCTACCGCTCCAGTGTCACCGATTAGATCAGTCTCTGTTTGTTTGTTTTGGTAAGTGTTTTTGCGGCGCTCGCAACTGCATAAGGTCATATGAGCGCGTGGGACACACCTAATATTTTCAGTTGGTAGGATTTAAAAAAAAATTTTGCCCGGGTGGCGGCCGAAGCCTACTCTTATCGATTTTAGACCACCAAGGGATCTTTAACGTGCGCAACTTGCACACGGGCCCTCCGAGATTTTTCGCCCTTGTCCGAGAAGGCTAGGTGTAGATCTTTCCTACCAGAAGATCAGGGATGTGGCAGAAAGACAGCAGTTAGGAGGAGCCAAGGAGTAGCAGTAGAAAGGCTGCAGATAGAGTCAGGAGCCCAGAGGAGGGGGAAAAGGAGGTGAGGGGGTGGGGGCAGAAAGTGGAAACGAAAGCAGACAGCAGAACATTGCTAGAGAGCAGGAGACAATTTTAGTGAAGAAAATTTTCCGATCGCGACCCGGATTCGAACCCGGGACCTTTGAATGAGAGGCCAACACCTTAACCTCTAGGCCACGAGAGCCCCCTTAGTCTCTGTGCAGGAACCAACAGTTCTTTACTGTAACAACACACTATGTTATCCCTCCCCTCCCCCTTCCCAGGTTTTTGCTACTGACTGAAGTATCTTTAGGCCATTTCCAAAAGACATGTTCTTATGCACAGTAGAATTTTGTAAATGGGCTGATTTATCAACGTCTTGCTCATACTGTGCCGGGACAACATAGGGGGAACTGCTGCTTTTTCTGTCGGCATTTTTCCTCTACTTATTTTGTATGTTTGTCACTCTCTTGTGAGCTGCTATTTCTAGGGTGCCTTGATAGTCTACTCTAAGCAGACTTTGTGCTGTTGAGGCTAGAGAGGTGAGCAGAGTAAGCCTGATTGACCGTTTGGACTTCTCTGTTGACACCCACCCCTTGGCGCTCATATGACCTTATGCAGTTGAGAGCGACGTAAAACCTTACTCAAACTAAAAATATCCCTGTTACTATTTTTTTTATACCCGACTTGTGCTTCATTTCATTCGTGTTAAGTCACCCCCAGCACGTCAGAAATTATTACACGCATTACACACCCAACCTTCAAAATTGGGCCACTTTTCGAGTCAAAAGTCCACTCCAAGGAAAGTATATAATCTCTCTCTCTCTCTCTCTCTCTCTCTCTCTCTCTCTCTCTCTCTCTCTCTCCCTCTCTCTCTCTCTCTCTCTCTCTGTCTGCCTGTCTCCCTATGTCTGTCTGTCTCTGTCTGTCTGTCTGTCTCTCTCTCTCTCCCCTCTCTCTCTCTCGCTCTCTTTCTCTCTCTCTCTCTCTCTCTCTCTCTCTCTCTCTCTCTCTATATAAATAACAGAAATAAAGAAAAAAAAAATGTCGAACACAAAGATCACACACAAACACATCTATCACACATAGCATATCGCACACTGTAAATATAAATATACAAAGATATATGACTAACAGGCAATATATCGATCTATCGGTTTTATCTATATATGTAGAGATA